GAAACTGCATAAGAAAGTCGATCGATGTGTAAAGAAAGAAAAAAAGATGGCTATTTATTCCGAAGTAGAATAGAAAAGAGAAAAGAGAGGAGAGAGAGAGAAACAACATTGCGCAAAAAATATATTCAGTAAAAAACAAAAATTACAACTCCCGTAGTCTTTGAATTGCTTCTGCTGCTACCATTTGACACATTTTGGCAGCTTGTCTCACTTCTTTTGCTGCTTCGATGAGATAGACATTTAATGGTCGTCGTGGCGATGGTGGACGATTTTCTTCATCGTCTTTGTCGTCTTGAGGTAATAGTGTGGCAGCTGTTCGTGGATGTGCTCTTTGTCTTTGTGATGGACGTTGCATTGTCGTTTGTGATTGAGTGGGAGGTGTCTGAGTCCATGAGGCGGGTAAACTGACTTGACTATTTCGACGTGGAGGTGGAGTCCGAAGGAGTGCTGGTGGAACGGGTGCCGATAATACACCTGTGCTCACTAATCCTTGAAATACCGGTGATTGTGTGTCAGTTACCTGTTGTGGTGGTACAGCAGGAGGAGAAGTGCCCATAGCTGGTGGTAGTTGCGGTGACGATAATAGAATATTTAGCCAGTCCAATGAAGCGGACAGGGGTTGTGATTGTGCAATCATTGTAACATCTTCATCCATTTCCACCGCTTCGTCGTCGTTCTCCCAATCGCTGTCGTCCTGCTGATCTGCCGGTGCTGTGCCAACATTTTGTCGTTGTGGTTGCTGTTGTGACGATGAAGATTGTTGTTGTTGTTGAAAATAAGAGATCGGATTCATTTGTGGTGTATGCTGCGTGAGTTTTGCCATTGCAGCTCTACAAATAACGTAAAAAAATATTTAAAGACAAATGCATAAAAAGGTAAAACTGGCCTGTGAACTGAACCTAAATAGAGGGAAGGTTACAAACGAGAAAAGCATCCTAGGAAGGTAAACAACAGTGAAAAATAAAAACCAAGCTCAGTTCGGTCATCACAGCTTGTAATGATTTTCAAATTCTTTCCGACAGCGTCACGAGAGTAGAGGGAAGAGTAACTGTTTTTTGAGTGCAAACAAAGAAACTCATGGGGATTAAATTACTAGTCAACCAAGAAAATTGCAGTTAGACAGAAGAAAACTGTCTGTTCTTACTTACTTTCTTGTTTCACGACCTAAATGATCATAAACTCGCTTGGTTGCTTTCGTTAAACCCAAATGAACATAAAACTGCTGGATATGACCGGGTATTCCCGGATTATTCATTATTTCACTGGCAATTCTTCCAGCACTTCTGGCACCAAACTGAGTATAAAAGCGCTCAATTAATTTTTTTTCATCTTGTGAAAGTAATGTACGTGTTACTTGTTTTGGTTGAGCCATTGTATGGTAATCAAGAAGACGTTATCTAAATGAGAAATTGGATTTTACTGATTAAGATTACTAAAAGGCGACTTGACATCCTACAGAGAGCGCATAGTAATGTTTAGTTTTAGAGAAGTTCCTGATCGTTTACAATAAAAACAGCTTTTCAGCCACGATGAACCTGTCAAAACTATTTTTACCATTCTAAGCCTATGTGGGTGTTTAAAAGAATGTCGAATCAGATAAAAACTGCAAAAAATAAACATGTTCTTGACTCAAATCTATATACAAAAGTTCGAGATGTCAACTGGAATCACCCCAACGGAGATGGAAAAAGGCAGTAGATTCCAAAAATGATCTATTAATTCATTTTACATTTGTCCTATCACTGGCGAATTTCGGATATAGACACACGTTAAAATTTTCTCCCATTATTTTATTTCCCATTTCGAAAACATTCGTCCGAAAAAACTTCCGTCATCATGAAAAATTAGCCCGAAAAATATTTTTTTTTCTTCATTAAAGAGTGAATAATCTATATTCTTTTCCTATTGGGTTTTATACATCATCAGAAATCAGTCCGCGAATTTTTCCTCATTAAAAAAGATTGTTCTGTGTTCTTTTTCCTATTGGGTTGCATACGTTTATTAGTTCTGCATGGAAAACACAGCTGTCCACATACAGTAGCATTTTTTCAGATAAACATTTGCCTATAATCAGCCTCAATTTCTCACCGTTTCCAGTTACGTTCACTTCTGAGCTTTCTGCAAAAATCGATTTTTCACAAAATCCGGACTTTAATCTGCTATGGAATCCACCGGTTTTTAACCGGGCAAACTCCAAAATTGAACTGACCATTTGAACTACGCGTTAAATTGGTCGGTCCGATTAGGAAAAATTCAACCGGTTCCAACTCTGATCCGCTGTGATCGGTGTTCTGAACTATCGTTTTTTTAGCATAGCATATTTTTCCTACTTTATCGAGGGGCAGTTATTGATGTATTTACATATTGGTATCTACCAACATATGGTGAATCATGTGGCGTATATTATCTATCTCCTTTTAGATAATGATTCAAACGTTACTTATACATTAGTTTTTGTACAGCAGATAATTATGCAACCTTATCCCCATCCTTTTCATCGAATTAACACAATTTTAAGAGTTATTTATGAAATAATTACTGATCGCCTGCCCACAGAACTTGTCGGTATTACTTGAAAAAATAATTGAAGTTGAACGAATTCGATGTATATCAGCGATATCAATTTCAGAACAATGCTCGCAAATGTTAGCATCAGCAGAGAAAACGTTATTCTTGGTTAAAAATTTTCCTCGTTATAGAAAATTGTTTTCAAGAGACCGATTTCAAAACAAAAGAATGAAAAATGTATACGCTGATGCAATAAAAACACCAAACAATTTCGTGTAAGTCACAGGTTTGACGCCAACAACGTTTGAAGAAGTTTATCATCAATTCGAACACGTAGCTATTCAAAGATTATCTTCAACAAAAACTCGTGTTCATACGCGAATTATTGATGGAAATCTTTTATTCTTACTTGTGCACTGGCTCAGATGTTATCCGACTTATCGTCAACTAAGTCTACTATTTGGTGTGAGACCAAAACAAATCAGTCGATACATTCGTCGCTTTTTACCAGATTTAGCAGAAAGTCTTAAAGCAGAAATACGATGGCCGCCATTGGCTGAATTCGATCAACAACTTTGCAGACATCCAGAAATTGGATGCTTCGTTGAATCAATCGACGGCACGCGTTACCGTATTCAGAGGCCAGGTTAGATCCCTTCAAATTTTTACACAATACCTTCTTTTTCAAATTAATCTTGTTTTCATATCTATAACTTGAAATTTCAAAAAAGTCTGAAAAAAAGATTTTTACTGTACATGAGTGCTCCAGTTGTATCTTAGAAATAAAGAGAATTACTGAATTTTTTTCATTATTATTTTAGGTAAACGTCAACGTATCTATTATAGTGGCAAGACCAAATACCACTGTCTTGCAAGTATTTATGTAATTAACAATGATCGAAAATTAATTTTATTTGAAAGTGGATTTTTTGGTTCTTATCATGATTCAAGAATATTTAGCAGTCTACAAGTTGGCCTTAATAATCCAATACCTCCAAACACGTTCATCTTAGACGATCGAGGCTTTGCCAATAAACCGCCAATAATTACACCTTATCGAAAAAATGAATTACCTCATGCCGGCATCACCGAATTTCAACGTTTTTTATATAATAAAACACTATCAAGTTATCGAGTCTACGTTGAACATGTTACACATGAATTTAAACTATATAAAGTCTTATCAAACAATTACCATCATGAAATATTTAACTTAAATTTTTATAAACTAATTAGTTTATGTGTAGCATGTTTAGCAAATAAACGTTGTAATGATTTTTATGTAACATCAATATAATGTTTTTTCGTAAAATCTTTTCTGTGCTTGTCTATTTTTGTGTTTCTCTTTAACAGTGGTAAAACAATTGAACAAGACTTAGCAGTTGTCACTGATGCAAAGCTACTTGAGCATGAAATAAGATAACTCTACACTTGGAAGTAGTAAAATTGTACTTTTATGGGAAAAAGAGGTCAAACTCTGTAGAATAAGATCGAATTAGTTTTGTAAAATCTGGTT